ATGTAAGATAAAACTGCAAAAGGATTAGGGCTGCCAAAAAGTAGGGTGGGCTTCCTCAAGAGGTAACAAATTCCTCTTCACTAGAGCGCTTCAGGCAAAGGGTAAATGAGTCACTCATTCAGTATGCTGCAGAGGGGATGCTTGTTCAGGTATGGGTTGGACTAGATGGCCAATGGGATCCTTTTCAACTCTTGCAGCTAGGTAGCATAGTGGATAGAACACTGAGCCTGCAGTCAGGAAGACCTGAGTTCAAATCTAACCTCAGACACTTACTAGCTGTGTGACCCTGGGCAAGTCACTTAACTTCTGTTTGCCTCCGTTTCCTCACCTGTAAAATGGGGATAATAATAGCAGTCACTTCCCTGGGTTATTTTGAGGTTCAATTGAAACAATATTTGCAAAGCATTTAGCACAGTGTCTAGCATATAGTAGGTGCTTGATAAGTTTTTAAAGAAGTCCTTCCTTTCTACCTTCTTGAAATTCTCCATCTCTTGTGGAGCCTTCTCTGAGCGCTTCAGCATGCAACAATTTGACAGTCAGAGACAGAAAGAGAGAAGGTAACTTACCCCAAATCACCCAAATAGGAAGCAGCAGAGATAGGTTTCAAAGCCAAAATCTTTTGATTCCAAAACCAATGCTGTTTATCCTCTACCACATTTCCTTGAAGGTACTTACTAGCCTTAGCCTTCACCTGTCAATCATTCACCATCCTGTGGCATTTCATAGTCCTGTCCTGCATCATCACCTGACTTTTTTCATATTGTCTCTCCAACAAGAATCTAAGGTCCTTGACAGCAGGGCCTATATTTTATTCAGCTCAGGGTCCTCCTCAGGGCCTAATTTAGGCACTCAAGAAATGGTTATTACCAGACTAACTGACTGATTCGGAAACAGATCACAACCAGTCTGGGTCGTGTAAGGGCAATGTAGTCTTGAAAAAAAATGATTGAAAACCTGTAGAAAAGTGTTTCCATGCCCAGCTCTCCATCACCCTTCCTGGTATCCTGGCTTTCTTTAACTTCAAGTAGCAGGCTTCAAGACTGTGGGTGTTGCCATTTGCAGGGATTTGGATCAAGCTCTCTTGCCCCACTTGGCTTCTGAGAGTAGTGTCGACACAGGTACAATGCTAAGTCAGCATAGTGTAAGAAAATATAGAAGCTGCTCCTGGTAACAAGGGCTGTTATTGTGGCATTATATTAATAAACAGTTTAATTCTCTTGTGACTGGGTGAGATGATTACTCTCCCCTTCCTGTTTTTCATTCATCTTATAGGAGGCTTTTAATTATCATACTACTTCTCAATCATTATCTTGGCACATTCTGCCTTACATTACAGTTATTTGTATATGTAATTTTTGTTATCTTCTCTACTAGACAGTGGGTTCCATGAGGATGAAGGCCATGTTTTCATCACCTTTCAATCTTCCCTAACATGTAGCATTGTGTGTTAGGCACAGTAAGCACTAAATAAATTGAAGTGAAGTTAATTAATTGGACTGGAAAGACTGCCGCTAAATTTGTAAATTTGCTATAAGCAGGTATGTCATCCTTTCCCTTTGGCTCTTTTTTTGAACACTCAGAAATGCATCTCTCAGGTCTTTTTCCCTCAATGGTCCAATCTGTTCACCAGTAGCACAGAGCTGAATAGGCTAAATTTGGCAGCAGGGACCCAGGATACTCTGACAGGAGGAAATGGGAAGCCATTTTGATGCTAAAGGAAAAGGAGGATAGACAGTTTAGGTGCTGCTCTGGCTGAGCCAATATGACAAGCTGAATTACAGCTAGAGAAAAGGATCCTTGCTTTTCCAGGGCCTCCAACCTGACAATAAGGAGGAGGTCCTCTCCTGTGCTACTCCAACGCCTAGGGTCACTCTGGCACTGCCCACCCATGTTCTCTGTTTTCCTAAAACCCAAGGAATTGAAGTGGTCCCCGGGGAAAACTGCTTGTAGATCACAGAGCTCTGTTGTCAATGGTACTGCCTAGCCCCAGTTTCCAACCTTTGGTGGAAATGTTCCCCAATCTTTCCCCATCTGTCTGTTTGTTTCTGAGTATTGATAGATAGTGAAATATAAACAAAATGTGATCTTGTAAAACAGGACAAGAGCTATAGACACTGGTCTTTGCTCCCACTATTCTGAGCTGACCTTTGACACTACCCAATTTCAATAGCTATTTCAAATGGTTATAGAATTTAATGGAATATTCTACAAAAAAACAACAAATAGGAAGAATTCAAAGAAATATGGCAAGACTTACATGAGGTGATGATGGAGAGTAAAGAAAGCCAAACCAATAGAAAAAATATACATTAACTACAATTACATAGTTAAAGACAGTAAGCACAGCAACAAATCCATGTTATAGACTGAAAAGAAGATAAAAAAAGTATCATAAAAGCGAGGATTGTATGGGTACTGCCACACTAAGATGAATAAATGAGTTTTTTAGGGCAGGGTTAATGATCAGTACATAACAAATGTATAGATAGTAATGCAATCATTCATGTTCTTGGGTTGTTTTTTGTTGGGGTTGGGGTTTTTTGAGTTTTATCCTACATGCTCATTTTTCTTATTTTATTTTCTTATGCTCTGTTTATACGTTGGAATACTGGTACTTGTTAATGGAAATGAAAATAAAATTTGTATTTTTATAAAAACTGTAGATGGTAGCATTACAAAGTGACCATAATCAAAAGAACCAGTCTGGTAATGAGAAATCAAATATTGAGTTCCCTTATATCAAGAACTTCCAAGTGACAAGGTGTTTTTTTATGTTCAGTTATTTTGACTTTCACTGGGAGTGACAGCACTACAGCTTCTCAGAAGGGAGTTTGCCTCCAGCCAAAATCCAAATACCACTACAATACGCAGCAAAATGAAGAATGCTCACAATATTAGGAGTGGTACAATATTAAATGGATTAAAATAATTCATGGCAAATGAACACATGTCCCTAGCTTTGTCTTCATAAAAATAATGCTCGTAGAATTGATTTGCAAAGCAACCCGGCAGTGGCAGGCTTACAATTTCAATAACAACCATTCATTACTTCCAGTTGTCTAAGAAATTTGAGTTGTTAGGAAATAGATACATACTTGGACAGCTGAACAATCAAAAATAATGTTCCATCACAGGCAATTAGCTCCTACACAGAAAAGCACGGGAGCATAAATGACCAGATTCAGAGTGAATCCCAAAGCTACCTCTAGCTTCACTCTGACTCCAGCCTGTTTGATTTAAAGAAAATGGTACAGAGATAATGCCTTCCATTTCAACCTGTCATCTCCTGGTAGCCTATGTGAGTTTTCAGGGTGATGTTTTATTACTGACAGGCATTTTCCCTACACTGCATTCATAACCATTTGGTTGGTTTTGCAGGATTTTAGTTAACATCTATTTCCAAGCCATTTTCCCAGCATTCTATCAAATATTTCATGGTTCTTAGGGTGCTTTTTCATATTTTTCCTTGAGAGTTATATGTCTTACAGACTAAAACCTAAGGCGACAGAGAACAAAATTGGTGCTAGAAGATTTCAACACAATTTTAATTTGACATCAAAATACTGTCACTAAATGCTACAGGTAGAGCTCATGACCCTGCTAGATGTGTTGTGTTAATTAAGTTGCTTTTAGCATCCTGAATGTATACACTCTGTCCCTGTATTCATGCTACTATTTATTATATCTATACGATTCTATCAACCACGAAAATGAAGCTACTTCACACAACATATTTCTCCCAATGAACCACCCTCACTGGTGCTTTTCCCAGATCACGGAATGAGGGGAAAATGTTTACAAATACTTATAACATTTTTTTCATTTAGCAATTTCCCCCATGTAGCTAGATCTACAGAGCTGAGGTTACATAATCACCTATTTAATACTCCAAACCAGCTGCATTTAGAGTAATCAGATTTGGGGTACAATGTGCTGGTGTGGAGTTCCAGACTGTGAAATAAAAAACGGACACTGCACTAAGCTAATGCACTGATGAGAGAAGACTTGGGATCTAGCTGGGTGCAGAAAGGGAACACTTTCCAGTTGACTGCTTTGCTCACACTAGATGAGACAAGATTCAAAGTACAGTTTGAAAAAAGGATGTTAGTATCCAATAAGCTATATTGTTCTACACACATACAGCCCCGATCTGAACCCTTTTTGCCCATGAACTCTAACTCATCTAGCTCTCTCACTGAGTTACACTGCATCCTATCTCACATCCCTATCCCTAGCAGATTGTAATCGGTGTTTTTCTCTTTTCCTCCTCCTCCTCTCTGCCCTAAGCTTTCTTCACCTCCCCTACAGACCTTATTTATGCTCTGGCTTCCCTGCTACTTGTTCCATCCCTGTCAGAAGGATGGACCCAAGGGCTCTTCTCTGAGCTAAGCCCCATTCTCTCAGTTTTCCAGCACGAACACCAAGCGCCCCCTCCCTCGGTCCCACCTCCTCCCACACACCCCAAATGAATCCAGAGTTCCATCTTCCCTGGATGAAGATGATTGCACCTACTCACGCCCCTAATCCTTGATAACTGCACCCCTTCCCCCACCAGAGGCTGAGAATTCACCCAGCCAGGGGCCCCGTCTTCTTCTCTCTCCTCTTCCCATCTAGCTACCCCCTGCAAGTCACTCCACCTCTTGGAGACTCAGCTTCCTCTTCTAATAAATGGGTATAATACTCCTCACTGGATCTACCACCCAGAACTGGCTGTGAGGAAGCAGCTTTGTAAACCTAAGACACCAGAGAAAAGGGAGCTATTTCTTGCTGTTATTGTTCTGTTAGGACACCCCTCCCCACAGAGATCTTGCCCCTTCCCCAACCTTCTCATCCCTTCTCCAGACTCATTAACCTAAAGCATCCCGGTTGGCCAAGCCCACGACGTTGCCCCCCAGGAGAGAGAGCCGGAGCCGGGCCTCTGCCCGCGCCCGCTGCAGTCCGGGGCCAGCGGAGACGGCTGGGAGGGAGGGTTCGGACCCCCCTGGCCCGGGCTGCCTTACCTGGCCGTGTCGGTGGTGGGGCCGGGGCCAGAGCCGGGGCCGGGGCCGGGGCCCGGAGGCTGCTGGGCTGTGGCCGCTCGCGCAGCGACGGCTGAGGGGAGCTGTCCGCTTCCTGGTGCTGAAGGCGCCTTCCCCGCCGCGGGGCCAGGGCTGGGGCCGTAGCCGGGGCTGGGGCTGGGGCTGGGGCCACTCGCAGCCGGCAGCCCGTCCCCGGCTCCCCCCTCCAGGCTGGCCTCGTTACCCATGGCGGGGCTCGGACGGCGGGGTCGGAGCGGTGGAGCGGGGCCCGGAGGGGAGGGGAAGGGGAGGGAAGGGCAGGGAGGGGGGGCCGGGCCGGGCCGGCGGCTCCCGGGCTCGCTGCTCACACTCTCAGCGCTGCGCCGCCGCCGCCATCTCCCAGCTCCACCAGCGGCGCCCGGCAAGGCGCATGCGCGGCCCGCCCCTCCCGCGTCAGGCCCCACCCCTCGCTCTGCACACACCCCTCGGGTGCCTCGGAGCCGCGCGTGATGCTGCTGATGCTGCCGCTGTCGCTGCTCCTACTGCTGGGGGGCTGCTCCGCGGCCTCCCGCGCCCGCGCCTGCCTCTCCCCGGACGTGCGGAGTCTCGGGCGAAGCGGGACTGCGGGGAGCGTGAGGGCGGGGGCGGTAGAGGCCCCCCCCCCATACACACACCTGCGGCTACCCCGGGACTCTCGGGAGGAAGGAGCTTACTGTGGAGCTCGCTTGAGTCAGGCGCCTATTCCCCGCCCTCTCCCGGGTGAGGAGCGAGGGGTGGGGGATGGGCGAACCGAGCTGGACACGGGGAGCGAGAAGAGTGACCAGGACACCCCTGAAAGGGAGAAGACTGCCATCCACCCCTTCTGCATCTCGGGGCAGGGCATCTAGCCCTGGGGTGGCAGAAGATATAGATTAAGAATGTCAGACTTGGTTGTATCCCAAAGAGATGATAAAAAAGGGAAAAGGACCCACATGTACAACAATATTCATAGCAGCTCTTTTTGTGGTGGCCAAGAATTGGAAATTCAGGGGATGCCCATCAGTTGGGGAATGGCCGAACAAGTTGTGGTATATGAATGTAATGGAACACTACTGTGCTGTAAGAAATGATGAGCAGGCAGACTTCAGAAAAACCTGGAAACACTTGTATGAACTGATGCAAAGTGAAATGAGCAGAACCAGGAAAAGGTACACGGTGACAGCAACATTCTACCGATGACCGACTTTGAAAGACTTGACATTTCTCTGAAATGCAGTGAGCTGAGAGAATTCCTTTGCTTTTTTTTTTTTTTTTTGGGTGAGGCAATTGGGGTTAAGTGACTTGCCCAAGGTCACACAGCTAGTGAACGTAATGTGCCTGAGGCCACATTTGAACTCAGATCCTCCTGACTCCAAGGGCTGGCACTCTATCCACTGAGCCACCTAGCTGCCCCCCCACCCCCCACACCCCACCCCCAGACAATTCCACAGAACTCATGAGGGAAAATGCTATCTACATCTAAAGAAAGAACCATGGAGTCTGAATGCAGATTGAAACATACTGTTTTTCACTTTTTTGGGGGGTGGCTTATCCCTTTTGTTCCCTTTCTTTTTTCACAACATGACTAATGTGGAAATATGATTACACATGTATAACCTATATCAGATTGCTTGCAGTCTTGTGGAGGGGGGATAGGAGGGAGAAAAAAATTGGAACTCAAAATCTTATTGAAAATGAATGTTGAGGGGCAGCTAGGTGGTGCAGTGGATAGAGTACCAGACCTGGAGTCAGGAGAACCTGAATTCAAATCCGGCCTCAGACCAGACACTAGGCACTTACTAACTGTGTGACCCTGGGCCGGTCACTTAACCCCAATTGCCTCACCAAAAAAAGAAAAAAAATGAATGTTGAAAACTATCTTTATATGTAATTGGAAAAAATAAGATACTATTTACAAAAAAAAAAAGAGAAAAAGACTGTCAGACTTGGGAGAAACCTTAGAAAACATCCAATCCTTCCTTTTTAGAGAAACTGAAGGGTTGGGGAAGAGAGAGACTTGCCTTAAGTCACACAGTGAAGTTAGTGATGGTACTGGGGTCTCAGTGGGAAAACGGCAATAATTCTGCCCCAAGTTCAGCAATAACTAGATTTCTGTCCACACTGCTTTCATAGCCAGCCTTTGACCCAGCCCAGTCCACATCCTGATTGTGATGGGATTCAGGAGCTCAGCCTGCTCCAAAAATCAGCCTTCTCAGTTGTTCTGTCATTCCTTACCCAATTATTAAGGACCTAATAGCTAGAAGAAATCAAGCCACACATAAAGAATATGAAACATTGAGACTAAAAAGAAACCCATACATATTAACTTCTGACTCATCTTTTTATTTAGGTGGGGGGGAATTTTTGAAAGAGTTTAGGATAAGGAACTAAGCATTATTTCCTGCCTGGGACAAACTGCCCCTGAAACAGACGGGGTTTAGAGTTCAAAGCTCCAAATAGTCTATTTCATGGTGACAATTATTATCAAAGACACTGCCAATGTTTCCTTTTGGAAGGCTAGCAGACCCTGCAGTGGAGAAGGGGAGGACATGTGGAGCAAGGGCTGAGTCACAGGATGTAATTCATAGATGAAGAAGCTTGAGAACATTGTACTAGGAACATGGGAAATGGCAGGAGGGTAGAAGAGTATGTCTTTGAAAAGTGGTGTCAAAGGTTGTGAAGCCATTACATTTTGCAGGAAAGCAGGCGAAGGCAGAATATTGGCCAGTCAGGGGAGGTGATCCTTGCTTGGGAAGACTGCAGTCAAGCAATCATACCAAGCACTCACATCTCTCTTCATAGTGGTACATTCAACTTTAGTAAAGTCCTCCCATGCCTCATCATGGCAACAAAGTGGCACTGGGTTGTTGAAAGTTATAGCAGTGGAGCAGAAGCTTTGAAAGATCTCACCAAGCCAGGAAGGTTTCAGGTACATGCCCAGTGATGGACTCTGTCTCATTTGAGGACCATCCTGATTAAGTGTGCAGAGGCTCGTCACCAGAAGGTTGGCCACCAGATGATGAATTTCTTTTTGTCCACAGCAACTCATGAAGACCACTTACTAAGACATAGAAGGGTAGTGGTCTCTCTTTAGAGTGAAAAAATCAAGAATATTATGAAGCTGAAGGCCAGAAAAGCAAACTAAAAGTCATTTAGACTCATGCCAGTGGGCAACAACTGTTAAGTATTACTATCGCATATGGAAAGCCCTGCTGTCTGTCAGAGCCCAGCTCTAAAGCACAGGGGAGTTGGGAGCCATTAGGAGGGCTCCTTTTATAGCCTGAGTTGCCTGGACTGCAGCTGCTGTGGGGAGGATCCTGTCCTCCCTGTGAAATCCCCCCCTTCCCAAGGCTTCCCAGGGAGTTTAGTGCCAGGGTTACCTTTCAGTTCCATCATGCTTTGCAGAAACTTCCATTTATACCTTCTTCAGAATCATCTGTTCTTTGTCTTCTGGCACTGGGTTTATGACCGTCAGAGGTGCAATAGTTCTCTAGAGCAGGAGTTCTTATCGAGCTCGTGAGCGGGTGTTGTGTGCATGTGGGTGTGTGTATATGTGTGTATTTTGTGCTCTTTGCCAGACAGGTGAAGCTTATGGATCCCTTTTCAGAGAAAAAATAAAAAAGATAGTTTTAAATGCATGAAGATAAAATGCATAGTATTACAAAGGAAACCAATTATGTTCAAATGTAGTTGTCAATTTAAAAAAAGTTCATAGATTAAGACCCCCTTACCTAATTCCAGATCCTCAGTGGCATTCTAAGAGATGGTTTTGTAGAACAAGATCTATTTAGATGCATTTTATAAGTCTGTGCACTTTTCCCAGTGCTTAGAAATGGATTGGATGAGACATCATTAATGTTACCATGATCAGAAGTGGCAATCCACCTTTCAGAATTGTTCCCAAATGTCTCCCTAGACTATAGTGACATTAGAGGTATGACTTGTCAGAGCTAAATTAGCCATATCAGGAATGTGCCAGGCCCCTCCATGACTCTTTTTCCTTCTTTGCTCCACTGTCTTCTGTCTTTTCTGCTGGAGGAAATTAGGAAGCCCAGTGGATGGACTGCTAGATTTGGAGTCAGGAAGACCCTAATTAGAATCCTACCTCAGCCACTTACAAGTTGTATCACCCTGAGCACCTTATATAACTTCTCTCAGCCTCAATTTCCTCATCAGTAAAATGGGAATAATAATAGTACCTATCTCAAGAGTATTGTTGTGAGGATCAAACAGGATAATATATGCAAAGCACTTTGCAAATTTTAAGTGGTTTTGTTGTTCAATCATTTCAGTTGTGTCTGACTTTTCTTGGCAAAGATACTGGAGTGGTTTGCCATTTCCTTCTCCAACTCATTTTACAGATCAGGAAACTGAAGCAAACAGGATTAAGTGCCTTGCCCAAGGTCACACAGCTAGTTAAGTGTCTGAGGCCGCATTTGAACTCAGACCTTTCTGACTCTAGGCTTAGCACTCTATCCACTGCACCTCCCAGCTGCCTGAAAAAAAAATTCTAATATTGTTGTTCAGTTGTGTCCAACTCGTCATTGTTCACAACTGAACAACAATATTAGAATTTTTGCTGTGAACCACAGCAAAGCAAGCTGTGAATATTAGAATTTTTGCTGTGAACCACAGCAAGCCAATAATGTCCATGGAATTTTCCTAGCAAAGATAATGAAGTGCTTCAACATTTCCTTCTCCAGTGGATTAAGTGGATTAACAGAGGTTAAGTGACTTGCCTAGGGTCACACAACTAATAAGTGTCTGATGCCAGATTGGAACTCAGATCTTCCTGACTCTAGGCTCAACATTCTATCCACTGAGCCACCTAGCTGCCTCTATAAATATGCAGCTATTAGCTCTTGCTGCTTTTTGCTGGCCTTTGTACTGGAGGGGAGAAGAGTAAGAAAAGGAAACTCAAAACTCTTACTCAAGTGAGTTTTTTTATCCATGGGTCTTGCATCAGTCAAGTTGCTTCACTAACCAGTTTGGACACTCTGGGACTTCTTAGCAATAAAGAGAGTCCCTTCTGTCTGCTTCCTTGGTAAAAATAATTGCAGTGTTTTCTATTTTGCCATAAAGTGTTTGAAATCAGTTACATGAATGTTTGGTTACTGTATTTGTAATTGTTTATAGCCAATTAGCAGTTTGAATGGAAGTTTCCATAAAGACTAGAAATCAATATCTAATTTGCATACTCAATACTTCATTTGCATACTTGATGATCCAT